TGTTACGTGCTAATGAAGACCGATCACGTGATCATGCTCAGTACAATGCACCAGATACTAGGCATGCGCAAACCTGGAGGAATGTTTATTGCTCACCGTCCGCCGACAAACGGCTTCCTAGTCAACGGCATTCAATTGCTACAACGGGAGGCAAAGAACTACTCAAGAGTATAAACAATACTTTGGGTCGGCTTGTGGAAATACAAGATAAGGCGGAGCTCTCCAAGACCCCTGAAAGTTTGTTGTTGAGATCTCGCTTGCCACCTGCGACACTAAATTCCCCTCTGAAACATGACGCGTCGATGGAAGGCGTCAAATTATCTTTGATACAGGAACACGGAGAACGTGTCAAGGAAAGGCACAACTCTGCTCTGAAGATAAGTTGTAGCGTGAAGGACACTCACTCGCCTAAGCCTCCATCTCGATCATCTTCAACTGGAGTTTTAAACCTTGAATCGAGCTCGGCAAAAGAGCAAGCTAATAGAGAGAAACAAACCAAAGGAGGGCAAGTAGAAAGAGGAGCTAGAAGGCGAAGACGAAGGACATTAGAAACCAAGATCCCGCCAGAAAAAAAAGACAGCATTTTATCGTCAAAGCACGAGGAGAGCACGAGTTGAAGACGTGTTTAAGATACGTGTTCACGTGACAATAGGAATGACCCTGCGCACGATGGGCATGATGCGCACAGTGGACGTCAATCACGTGATTCGTTAGAAGAGGTGATTTGAAAAGTCGACTTATTGAAGATTTGAGACACCTGACTATACAGTAGGAATATGGGACCATGGATATTTGTTGCCATCAGGGGATATCCTGTAACTAAAAGGTAAATAAGGCTTGTCTTACTGTTGGTGTCAGGTTTATCTGGGTCCAGTCTGTGCGCAAAATTATGAGAAAGATGTAATTAAGCCGGCGCTACGTAAGTCAGAATAGACTGAACTGCCTTCTTCAGAGAACGAACTACAGCTTACCTTATGTTGAAAGAGTTGTTTTCATTTCGGGATAAAAGTAATCCAAGGGGCCTCCAAAATATCTTTAGGTTGTGTTGGATGAAAGAGAGTAATAGTGCTATACACACGCACCTGGCTAGTCCGTTAATATGTATTTGCGTTGTAATGCATATCGTAATTAACCAGTAAGATGTACTTTTGTGAAGTTCGAAGTTAAGCGCGCGGCGAGCGCGCGTGGCGAGTGCGAGTTACACGCAGTGGGGAGACATAACTCACCGCCCGCTTTTTCCATGCATTCACTATAGTAGGATAAGATGTCAACAATAATATAAGGAGACAAGATTTTCTATATTTATAAAGAAAGCAGGAGAAGCCACTAGTCAGTGTGCCGTTTTGTTAAATAACTTAATAAATAATTACGTATGATATTAAGAAATAATTAGAAATTTTATTACCTGAATATCAAATAATTTCAATGAGAGAACTATAAATAATTTAATTGATAATATATCATAAAAAAATGTATTTTTCTAACATGTTCTTATCTTTAACTGTGTAGAAATAAAATTGTTAATTTGTTGGCCATTTTGCACATTGCTGTCTTGTCTATTCCCAAGACTAATACACATGGAATAGAGGGAATTAAAAACCAGGAGGTGTGCAAACAAATTTTCTAAACGTAAAATCTTTGTGTTTATATCTGTTTTCATGACTGCTCTCCTTCACAAGCTCGTTTCTTTCTCTTCATCAAGAAATTGTGGCCAATACTTCGTAAGGAACAGGGATGTCAAAATCTCATCGGACATTTCTCCGACACGTAGTGATACTGAAGTCATTGTAGAATGAACGCGCTTCTCTCGATCGCGTGCGCTCAATACGTATTCTGTGGTACAATCTTATAACTGAACGGTCACTGTTTTGGAAATCCTTATCTTTTTCATTGAGGGGTGGATTATTTGCAAGCAGCACGAGAGAAAACAGTGTTTATGTTTTCTGTTTCTGTCTGTGACTCTTTCTGTTGACTGATACGGTGGTCTGCGTGGAAGAAATGTGAGGCTGATTACATAAACAGGGAAACAAACGGACGTGGAATATTTTTGATCTTTTTTCGCGGAGTGAAAATTTGAACCAAATCAGTGGCGTTATAATGTAACTTCCAGCGAGCAGTTTCCATGGGACTTACTCTTGCAAGTTGAAAGGAGGACCTGAAAATCCCGCAATGAGAAATTAAAACCGAGAAAAATAGTAGCTTCTAGGTTTTACAAGGAAATCACGAAAAAAACGAACCAACTGCGAGAACATTGTGTGGACTCCAACATCTGAACGCATGTGGAATAAAGTACCAGTTTATATACCTGTTTCTTTATTTCCCCAATCCGTGAACAACTCAGGGTATTTTTGCAGCATGCCGACTGTGTAGGTTCGGGTATACGTTTGACTCAATAAGGTGAACTTTGATTTAGTCGCTTACGATGATTAACGTTTTCAATATACGTCCTGGTAGAGTTGCCCTTCGCCCAGTATCTATATACACTCTGTCATTTTGAACAAACAACCGAGAGAGAGCCTTTTTAGCCATTAATGGCAATTTTTCAGTCATTTTTGCTTTCAATATCATT